AGAATAGAGAAATTTTAAGATAAATTGACAAAAGAGTGGAAGTGTTATCGTTTTGGGATTAATTTTCATACATTAGAAATATATTGATTTTAAATATTGATTATTTTGTGAACAAACAACTTTTAAAATACATTGTAAATGATATTAAAAGACTAGAGTAAATCTTAACAATAAAGCATAAGTCGATTTGAGAAATATTTCTGCGAAAGTTTATTTAATATATAATTTGAAAATATTTTTATATTTTAAAGGAATATTTTTATTGTAATCATTGGATTGTAGGGAAAACTACTCGCTTTTAAAAATATAGATAAGATTTTATGTTATAAATAGGTTCACATGAATTTCACGGCAAAAAATCTATTTGTTTTCAAAACCATTTGTTTTATTAGTTTTTCTCTTTTCCTGTTTTTAAACACAACGCCGAAAGAGACGAATAAATGGCATAATATTATGACAAAACTTATTACAATTCAAGTAAATTATGTTTTTTATAATGTATTCAAATTATTTCTTTATAAAGTATTTTCTTGGATTAAATGAGTTTGGATTTCACTTTACCCTCACTTCACAATATACTATAACTACTGGCTGTAAACTACCAGTGCTTTACTGGTGTATTATTGAAGGGTTGGCTCTTTTATTCAATTTGAGAACTGATTGCTATTCAAAAGCAGATGTTTGCTAAAAGTCTATTGTGTTTTGATTATAATTGATTGCATCCCTTATTTTATTCAACAAAGTATATAACAATTTTTGACTCAAAAACAAACAATTTTTAATCTCATTATTCATATAATTCTTTAAAATTTGCTTTACTTTTATTTTGCAAATGACTTTTACTTTATATTTATTATTATACACATAATATTAATATTGTTTTCGAGAAATTGGATTTATAAAAGTCTGAAATTATTAGAAATAATTTTTATATTATATAACTTTTAGTGTAATAATTCATTAGAAAACAATACAAATATCAGTGTGTTTAATATCAAAGTATTTTGTTTTTATTAAATTTTCTATAATAAAAATAATAGCCTTTCTCAATAAAAAGTTTAATTTAAATTTATTCCAAAACATTTTGAATAGTTTTATATTTTTCAAAATAACTCATTGTGTTTATATTTAAGAAGTTTTTGAACAAAATATTATTATTAAAATTGAAAAATTGATTTCAGTATAAACTATACTAAACATAAAATACATTTTTATGATTTAAAACCGAAACTAAAAAATGAATTTTGACTTTATATGAGTCTTATAGAAGTTTTAAAAATACTATTTTTTATAATATTAAGTCAAATACTGTTATATCTCATCATTTGATTTATGGCTATTTTTGTAGAAAAACATTTATATAAATATAAATTATTTGTTTGGTCTTTGAATTATATGTGTATAATATAAAGTATTTAATGTTTTGATAAAAAAATTTAAGCCATTTATACATAACAATAGTGTAACAAATGTATTACGAGAGAGAAAACCATTTACTCCTCTATTGTACTCTATTTTACAATAAATCGCAAATCATTCACAAAATTAAACGAAGAGATACTTTAAGATTGTTTTTATGGATATGTTTTAACGTATTATTATAACTACTTATGTTCACTAATATTATATAAAAACAAAGTAATATAAAGATTGCATTAAATGATTAAATGGTTTTTGAAGATTAAATACCATAACAAGAGAGTAGAGTTTATTTACATTAACTATAATAAAAGTTAAACTTAAAAATTATCTAACAAAATGTTGTCTAAAAAATCTTTAAGCAATAGTTTTTGCAGTTTTAACTTAATTTTATATAATGTATATTTATAAAATATACAATTTATCTCTAATGTGAGTCCATTTATTTATATTTATGAAGTTTACATCTATTTATGACAAGACATTCACTTTATTTTCAAAATAAAAAAGATATTCAAAAATAAATGCTTTTAAAAATCGTGTTTTAGTTATAATAAAAGAAATTCTTCGGGCGTTTGAAGCGAAGCGAAAAAACTTCAAAATATTTTGTTCACAAAAAAACTGATGAATCAATTAAAGTGAGAAAAAAGGATTGCATTCAAAGTTTATGTAAATGTAATATCGATTAGGATTTGTTTGCCTCAGAAAAACTTTCGTTTTATATTTATATATGTGTTGAAAACTATATCTATTGTTAACTTATAAATATCGGATCGATACTTGATTTCATCGGTTATTTTTAGGCCAAACTATTTTCATGCGAAGAAAATGTTGTGATTCTGTACATCAAAAGGCTTTAATGCTTTTGATTTATTGCTTGAATTTGTGTGTATTGTTTGCTTTAACTAACGGCCAATAAATATCCAAATGATTGATGAACCACTTGATGATACGGTGCTGACCAGATCTCTGGTAATATCTGCACATCTCCAGAGGTATTCAATAAATAAATCATTGTTTCCATTCAATGAGCCCTTCATTACTGCTGAAAATGCAAACACCAAAACTCGTCTCAAATATTATGCACAACTTGTGTTGACATTCATGAAGCTTCTTATAATTCAGACAAATGCTTAACCCTTTCAATATAAATATTATATAAATTCAACTCAGTATCCAATATATCAATGTTGTACTACATATTGATCTGAATATCAAATGTCAAACTATGCTATAAGAATTATACCATCATCATAATATAGAATAATATAATTGTCAATAAATAAATAATTATTCAAACTAAATTAATTTTTAACCTATAGTTTAGAAGTAATCTAATTTATATAAATATTATATTAAAACTTTGTATTGTTCCAAAAAATTAGTGATAGCGAAAATAGTCTTAAATAAGTTTTTATTTGTCACAAAAGTAGAGAATTAAGTTATGGTTGTGTTTGAAATAAAGTTGAATTCGCGTCACGTTATCAGAAAAAACCTTTTTTGGGAACCGATTTAATGTCAATATGGGCTCCAAATATGATTAGATCTGATAAATAGTGTTAAATAGCCGTTCGCTATAACCCTAACATTTCGTGATCTGAAAACTCATATCTTAACCATTGACTGCATAAATACTAATAAAACCCATTTCATGATAAAGAAAACAAAAATTATTTAAAATCCAATCAATATTTAAGGGAATATCTGTTACTGTTATATAATATTACTCTCATTGATTGCTATCAGTAATGCCTTAATACTCATTGATTGTATTGTGGAAACTGATAAGATATTTGACTTATTATATCACATCATCGGTTCGTTTCTCTTATTTCTCAAGAGGACTGAAGTATAGCTAAAAGTGCCAAAAGTGCTGAAACTACTCATCACTTGAAAAGACAACAGGAATTCATATCAATTCAATTCGATATCATAAATATAAAGGAATTTCATTTGTTTGACTTTTTACAAACAAAATATTATTTTATCATAAAATTGCTATTAAATTTTAAAAAATACACTGTTTTGAAAAATACAGTACATTTGAAATGGAAATTATTGAACATTACTATTATAATGGTGTAAATGAATGATGGAAATGTAAGTTTACTAGATACGATTATATAGACCAAATGAACTTACTTATAGTAATCAATAATAACAGTAAGAAACTACTGATACGATGATCAGGTGCCACAAAAATATAACGATTTATGTGTACGGGAGCCCCAGTGAACACATGTGTGTTATTTTAATATCGAGTAATTCTCTGGAGATAATGAGTGACAGAATTAATGAAAATGATTTATAAATATAACACGTTTTTGAAAATGTCAGTTAAAGTAGGGTTTACTTTAATATAATTTTGTTCATTTGTTTTGATAAGAGATATCTAATAACTTATTGAAGGTCTGACACAAGGAATCGTATGAATCGCAAGAATTATCTGAAGACCAAGAATATTGAATGACATTAAATAAAAATAATATTTATTGAGAGAATCCAAACAGTTTCTCAACACTGAGACCCAGTCATTGCAATCGATATGACAAACATTTACAGTATTTTGAATATATACTAGAATTTATTCATTCAACCATTTATTAATACTGTATTTCAGATTCACATTTAAAATCAGTATAGTTTAAATTAACCTCTTTTATAGTTAATTCATTATTTTTAATTTAAAATTATCTTTAGATATTATTTAATTTTATTCAATTTAAATTATATTAAAAATGAATGAAATTTTAATGATAGTACTCAGGTCAGTATTAAGTACTGCATTAAGTAAATAAAAAATTGAGTAAAAATGTAATTTTTGTAAAATGTTACCTTAATGACAAATTATTTTACTAAAATTGGTTTAGTTGCTATTGTATGAGATTTATTGCAAGTATTGTATTGTCAACGTTTGCTCGTAATATTAAGTCTCAATCAATATATTTAACAGAATATGTATAAGTTATTTATAATATAATCCTAACATTTCGTTTCATAAGAGGATTAAATCCTGTACTTAATTAGTAGTGTTTTTAAATGTAGTCTTCAATTAAAAGCATTACTGGGCTCTCAAATAATCCTCTGAAAGACTGAAAGTCTTAATAATTCAATGATTTAAAAATCCTCTTTTATGTTGTACTTTATAAATATTTTTCATCATATTTTGTATGCGTTCATAAAGTTGTATACATTTTGGTTATGTCATAAAAACACGCAATGACGGTGTGAAACATTATAATTATAATATCAATACTAATGTAATATAAAAGAAATATTATAGAAATTTTTGACTAACTTATGGTCAAAATAACTATATTATTCAATTACTGTAGTTTTATTGCTACTTATAAGTTAGTGACTGAGTCTTAATATAAAACAATTCTTATGCTTACTATGTAATGTTCAGAGAGATTAGTGTTTCTAGTTTTAAATTATATATAAAATTACTATATTTTAAAAATAAATTTTTATCTAATAAAACATAAAATTATTTACCGGTAATTTAATTATCTAACCATAAATTTTATTCAAAATTTGAATTTCAAATATTTTATTTTATAAGATTTTCCCAAAAATTTATTGGATGTGTTTATCAGTTGAGCCCTCATTGCCTATCCTTTAATATTATAAGACTTTATAATTGCATCCATACTTTATGCCCTCCTTTTCATACTTTCCATCACTTTTATCCCGTTTCTAAGAAATGAAATTTTTGACATTAATTCTAAATGATTTTCATTCTGTTGGAGAAAAGTTTTCATTTTAAAGTTACTTAACAAAAGAAAAATACTATAAAATATTTTACAAATTTCACAAGTCGTTGTTATATAAGTCAACAACGAGTTTTAATAAGATTACATAAACACCAATAATCCGAATCTCCTTAAAATCAATATATAAACTTTTATATCATATATATTATATATATTTAAATATGCTTTTTATAAAAGTTTCTAACTTTTTATTCTTTAAAGTTTAGTATAATCTTGGATTTATCAACATTATATTTAAGATTTTATTAAATATTGTATTTGAAATTAGGTTTATCTATAATCTATTTGTTTGTTGGTTAATTGTCTATTAAAATGATTATTTATAGATAATTATATTTTGACGTATAATAATATGAAACTAGTGAGTAAACAAAAGATTCAATATAAATAAGGTATACAAAAATCTTGTTCAATTATTGATAAATATCTTTAATTAATTTAATCACAAACTATTGTATGTGTTTTAATTTACCATAATGTTTGACATGTGTTTTATAATATTTATCTAGTTTTTCTATAGTTTTTATTAAAAATGTATTAATTTTTGTAGTAAAAATTGAGTAATTACTTTGATACATTTAAAAATATAACTTAATAATACCTTAAACATTATACTATATAATAAATGCAAAATAATTGCCACAGAAAACAATATAAAATGACAAAATAATTATCTAAAATGAAAACAAAACCTGTGTTGGATGGGACTGGAGTGCAAACGTGGGTCAAAGCCATTAAAAATGCCTTCTTGTCGATAGCAGTCATCATAAGTTTGGCCGAAACCTCTTCCGTGACATTATCTTTCAGTTCAATACATGGCTTACTTTCCCTAAAAGATATGGTATTGTTTGCCAAGAAAATTAATTCGCGATTCAGACGATCAATGATAGGTCTGACTTCAGTCTTTAAATCAACTGTTGGTCCGTCAGGTCTGTGTCCAGACTCGTGCCAAATGAGGTGTAAGTTCTGCTGCAGATAAACGTTGGCATCGATTTGCGAGCGAAAGAAGCTTTTGGCCCAAAACTCGTCTAATCCGACGTCTTTTGATTGATTGACAACTGTTTGGATGACCTCTTCTTCTCTGATCTTGTCTACAATCGGTGTCTTTGAGTCCCATTTGGCGACCGCCACCTTATGGCCGACCAGTAATCGGCGGCCAATACTTTCAATGAGTTCTTTAAACTCACAGAATTCGTGGTTTCCTTTGAATGTCAACAATCATACACTATATCATTGTTTTAATAAAAAGGTTTTTAAGTAATCACTCACTAATACATTTTGATTCATTAGATTTCTGGTCTATTGGCGAACAATAGTCACAAAATGAGCTCATTTTTGAAATTTCTTTTCCACTAATTATTGAGATATAAATTACCATAAAATATAGAAATAGTACTTTATTTATATTTTGCATTTTTTATTTTTAAAATTAAGAATTTAAATAATTATTTATAGTAAATTCATGTAGTCAACAATTAAATTTATAATAATTGTTATGTATTTGATTCTAGAACATTTTATAATAAATCACAAATATAATAAAAATCAATAATCTGTGCTAACCTGAATAAACAACAATTATTTTATGATAGAATTGACAGAATTTTAAACATTTATAGCCTTTCTCACAACGACTCCATACTGTATTAAACATCAATCACATACGGTATTAATATAAAAAACTTGCTTACGTAATGTTTACTTAACAATATTAAGCCAGCTAATTAATTGTTATTAGGGTTGAAAATTATCAAATATATTAAGATATTATAGATATTTTATTTAATCAGTATTAGTTGGAATTTACAATAAAGAATAATGATGCCATTCTTTGTTAACATTATTTTACTTTTTAACTCATAAAATATGAGATTATTATTTTTGTATAATAATGTTACAGCGTTACCACTTATAGTAATCCAGGTATTGATATTTTATTGTCCTTCAGTCTTGTCTATCAATTTATAGGTATAATATTTATTCAATACATGTGTATGGGTTCAAAGAAACTGATTAATCATTAAATCTGTGTTTTCATATTACTATACTGTAAAACTAAAAATATTGATTTGCTTGATACTATTAGTTATCTAGCATTTTAATTTTTAATTGTTTGTTATATTAATTATGTAATTTTTTATGTTATGTATTTTTTATGTATTATTATTATTTCATACAGAAAGATTTGATAAATTACAGAAAATTAATTAAAATTTAATCATGTGAATTTTATTGTCATATTATACTATTAAAAAATATTTACAAAATAAAAAACAACTTTTATTGAAAAACATGTGACAGTAAACCATATTTGTTATCATTTCCTTCAACAACAGGAAGATTAAAGAAAAATTTATGCCATAATTCTTATCCTATTTGTCGTAAAATTAGGGAAATTGATAAGAATTTTATTGAATTCACATTAAATTTATTCTTAAATTATTTTTTTTTGTTATGAAAACGTAAATAAACTAATAAAATAGATTGTATTTAAATTAAATGGTTTGAAAATTATTGTCAAATTCAATAAACGAATGAAAATCTTATACTGCATTAGATTTCTTAAGACTAAAAATAATTGGATAATAAGACGACATAAGAATTGCTAAATGCAAACAATACTACCGTTCCCTATATTTACATTAAAATGCATTTCAAATGCAAATGACTTTTGAAAATGTGTTTACAATAATATTGAGAATAGTATTAAAAACAAATTAAACTATCCAAATTTATTTTTGAAAATATCATTAAATTCTGTTATTATATAATTTAAGTCATTTGGGATTTTAGTAGACAACAGGTTACCTAATAAACAATACTATGTAAAACATTATAATTATTTGTCTACTACTTACGAATTAATAACTATTGTACAAAATAATTTATTCTTAAATTTATGACAATATAAACCAAAATTTCAGTTTAAATATATTTTTATCATATAAAGAGATTCAATAATAATAGAAAAGCAAAAGAGTATGGATGAGAATTTTGATTTCTATCCATATATATCCAGGCCATGGATTGCATTATAAAGCTATTGAAACATAAGATTATTGATTTGTTGTCAAATATTTTATATGTGAGTTTGTTGTCATCTCCAACACAATGGCAACAATTTTTAAACATTTAAAAATTGATATTCAAATTAAAATCAAATTAACATTTTTGTAGCGCTTACATAAAAATACTTTGTATGAGAATTTTCAAATATGATAAAAATATATTTAAACTGAAATTTTGGTTTATATTGTCATAAATTTAAGAATAAATTATTTTGTACAATAGTTATTAATTCGTAAGTAGTAGACAAATAATTATAATGTTTTACATA